GGAAATCCTGTATCTATTTAATTCCTGCCTCAAAGATCTTAGATACAGATGCCCTATAAGAAACAATGCTGCAATGCAACACCCACTTCTTCCGTTTATAATTTAAAAGATGTTTTAAACATAACATACACTAGCAGATGCTCAGAAAGCGGGGTGTTGACATCCCAATTCCAATATTCTATCAGCAGTGCTGCACAGAAAACAAACAAGCAAACTTGTGTAGACTGAAATTCCATACGTGCAGCAGTGAGAAAACATGAATTCCTTTTCCAAATAGGTGCACTGAATCACACATGAAAGACTTACCAGCATCACACCAGGCCCCAGGAATGTGTGGCACAGCATTAATACTTCTAATATAATCTGGTACACTCAAGGCCGACTCACCTGCTAGGCAAACTAGGCATTCACCTAGAGCACGGGCCGGCCCTAGGGGCACCAAACAGGACCCGCCCCCCTGCAAAAGCCCCCCAGCACCCGCCAAAAGCCTAGTGGCTTCCCTGACCACCAGGTGACCACCGCCATCACTGGCGCCGCTGCCACCTTTGAGTTCTTCTGACTGGCTGGCCCCGCCCCCGCCAAAAGACCACACACCGCCCAGAAGAAGCCCTGCTTCCCAACTTCCTCTCAGAGACTGCCGGCAGGCCCGCTTCGCGCCTCCCCTCAGCGCCCCTCAGCTGAAAAAGCTGACTCAGCTGAGTCAGCGCCTAGGCGCCAGCAAGTTCCATGCTGGGAAAAAGCACTGCCTCTTACTGCCTTCCCCCAGAACTGCTGAAAGGCGGTTGGCGGGAGCTCCGGGAAGCGCGGAGGAGGAGGAGGTTCCCACACGACAAGAACAGCCACCCTGCAAGGTGGAATGGGCAGGGCCGAGAGCAGGAGGGGGGGTGGCGGCAGCAGGGGATTGGCCGGAGGGTTCTCGGGTCTCTCTCGGGTCCCCTGGCTTGTCACTTCCTGGTGGGTGGGCCTGCAGGGGTTGCCGGCGAGGGGGGGACCTGCTGCTCGGCAGGGTTAGGGTGAAGCTCGGGCTGGGGGTCGCCCAGCGGCACCTGGGTGGGGTGGGGAGCGGCGGCCCACAGAAGCTCCTGCTGCTCCCCGCTGCCCACCCACCAGGGGGGTAGGGGAGGGAGTATAAGTTTCAGCACCTAGATCTCTAAGATCTACTTGACAGCTGACAGCTGTCATGAACTACATTCAGCCAGTTTGGACTGGGCAGAGCTGAGGCACAGTCAGAATGAGTCAGCACTGTTCTGATTGGATGGTCATGTGTATATATGTAGCAATGTACCACTGTATTTTTCGCCTTGATGGAGGATGGAATCTGGCGAAGCACTTTGCTGAAGAGCTGTAAATACTGTAAATAAAATCCTGTATATAGTTACCACTGGACTGAGTAAGTGTGGTTTACTATTGGAAGCCTCTGGTGAGTGAAAGACTGCTGAAAGTGCAAACGTGACTGAGGTGCTGGTTCATACTACCACACGCACTGCGCGACAGCCGGGGGGTGGGGGAAGAGGAGGAGTTGGCGAGGCGGGTCGTTGCAGCTCTGGGGGTCCGTCCGGTCACCCCCCCTCCTGCTCCGGCTGTGGCAGAAGGGAAGGAAGACCCCCCCAGGACTGCTCGGGCTGGGGCTCTGCTCGCGCACGCCTCCCCCAGCGGGCTGGGCGAGTGGGAAGTCAACCCGGGCAGGGGTGAAAGCTAACTTGTGGCGCCCGGCACCCCCCCAAGCATGTTTCTGGGAGGTCTCCAGGCCCCACCAGGAGGTTGGCATCGCCTGGGGGGTGCCAGAAGCTGGCCTTGCCTAGGGCGCAGAAACACCTCGGGCCGGCCCTGGGTATCCTTACATCGAAAAGGGATTAAAATGTTGCTTCAGCTGTGCAGCACTCTTAAATAGAAATTATGTTCCGTAGAATGCTTGAATTGACCTAAACATTGGCAAGCGGCAATAAGAATCTTAGTACCCCCCCCCAATTGTCTGCTAAAGTACCTACAATTCTTGCTGAAGAAAAGTCAGTATGACTTCTGCAACTAAAAGTCTTCCCTTTCCAACCTTTTTGTGTGTTTCTAAACGGTTTAATAAGCATATGGATAAGAATGGTTTGGTAGACATTACATGGGATTTCCAAAAAGCTTTTAACCAAGTTCCTCACTGAAGACTCCACAGTAAACTTACTCATGGGATACGACAATGATTCCTTTGTGGATTCTAAGCTCTGCAGTGGAGAAAGGAACCAACAAAGTCCCCCAAGAATCTATACTAGGACTGGTGCTACTTATAAGTGATCAGGAATTTGGGGGTAAGCAGTGACATGAGAAAGTTTGCAGATGTCACCAAATTATTCACCATGATGAAAGCTGGACTGTAAAGACCACTGATAAGATCTCTCCAAACTGGGTGAGTGTACAACCTGACAAATTAGGTTTAGTGTAAAGTGATGCACACTGGGGCAAAAAATTCTAACTTTACATAAACTGGCTGTGATTGACAAGGAAAGAGATCCTGGGATTGTGATGAAAAGCTTACTCTTACTCAGCTCCTATAATTTGAATATTTTTTCCCAGCAAACATTTGGAAGCATACTCTGTATTCTTCAATATACTTTCATTGATTATTAAAATATAAAAAATATAGATAAGGGTTTCTTTTTAATCAATACAGAACCGCAAGAATCAATTTTAGCAATTGGCTAAATAGCTGAAAATGCTATAAGATGTTTTTAAAAACATGACCTGCAATGTTGTTTGCAAGGAATCAGGGAACAGTGTCAATGTGTGTCACACACAGATGTAGATAGCAAACGTCAGGTGGATGCTGAGGAATGATATGACAAATCGCCTTCGACAACATACTGATATGACTAATTCTTAGTGTCTTTTGACCCTATTACCAAATAACCTATATTAAGCGTTGCACTTTATCGTTTATTTTATTTACTTTTTTTCTATCCCTCTTTTCTCCCCAATGGAGACCCAAAGCAGTTCACTTCATTCTTCCCTCCTCCATGTTATCCTCACAACAACCCTGTGAGGTAGGTTAGGCTGAGATTATATGACTGGCCCATGATCACCCAGCAAGCTTTCATGGCAGAGTGTGGATTAACTGTGCTCTGTACATTAGAAACTCAGTTTAACAGGTACAAAACAGCAAAAACTAAAAATTACAAAGCTGAATCTGAAAGGTAAGAACAAAACTGACTTAAAATTCAACAGGGTACAAATAATTAAACACCTCACTATGCTAGTACATGTAGATGGGAACAATAATTCAATGTCATATCCAGAATTAAGGTCTAATTTAGACTTCAAAACAAAGCTCACCAACCGCCTGAGAGAAATCAGCATCTTTTAACCCCTCCCCTGCCAATAAGGACATACAAGTAACTTGGTTGAATAAAAAGAAATGGTCTATAGAGTCTAGCAAGCCTCTTCATGACCAGCCAGAGGTCTCTAGAAGCCCTACAAATAGGGACCAAAGTATTCCCCTATTGCTCCTTCCTAGAAAATGGCATTCAGAGGCACACTGCCTTTGAAAGTGGAGGTTCCATCAAGCCATTTCATCTAGCAGCCATCACTACACCCCACCAGTGTTCCCTCTCAGCTGAGTCAGTGTGAGCTAGCTCACAGTTTTTTAGCCTCCAGCTCACACACTTTTGTCTTAGCTCAGGAAGGATGGCTCCAGAGCAAACTAATTTATGCAGTAGTCAAATCGCTCGCTCACAACTTTAAAGCCAGTGGCTCACAAAGTAGAATTTTTGCTCACAAGACTCCACAGCTTAAAGGGAACATTGCACCCCACCACATAGCCTTACTGCTCAAAAATAATTTTGTACAATGTTGGACTCAGGGGTCATTTCGTAGAAAAAGAGCTAGGGGGACTCATTAGCATAACTCATTAGTATATGCCACACCCCCTGACATCACCGGAAGTGTGTCCTCCCCACAGCCGGCGGCGACCTCCAGCGGGCACCAGCAGGGAGCTCCAGGCCCCGCCCTCCCGCACCTCACCCGGGGGGATGGCGTCCCCCCGCGTCCCCCCCCAAATGACCCCTGGTTGGACTATTCAATAGGGTCCAAACTTTTGCAGTCCCAGAGCAGCTATTTGGGTACTTGGCTTGAAAAATTTCTTAGGCCATTTCCAAACCAGTACTCTTAGCTGCATTTCATCTTGGATCCATACCAAAAGAGTGAGGAACACTCTCTTTCCTCCACTCCAATACTAGCATTCCTTTAAATAATCATTCAGTACTAAGTCTTTACTCATATGGAGCATACTTTTACTCAAAACAGGCTATTTACATATGTATTTCTCTCAGTTATTTATGAAGACCAGAAACATTCTTAAAGTTTAAGCATGCACAATCTCACCCCACACAATTCTGCACAAAACCGAATGTGTCGGCCAAGATATAAATTAACATTTTCATCTCTCAAGACATTTCTCAGAGCCTACAATGGGTTCACTGTTTTGGTTGCATTACCATGTAACTGGTGCTGCAAGTCACCATCAACACAAGCTTGCTTCTTCATTTGCAAATATAAATTGCTGAGGGAAAACAAAGCTGAGCAGAGCTCTACCACCCACAGAAATACTATCAGTCACTCATAATAATTTTTGCAACTTCTCTGTACCGTAATTGACTACCCTTTGACTACCGAACACGGCAGTGGCTGGGGGTATCATGGGACCAGCATGGACAAAAGCCATGTGGGACAGGAGCTGTAGCAAGGAGGGAAATTAATGAAACTGAGTGAAAAACTTGGCTGGATCCAACCCCAAGTGCTTAAGTGAGGCTACATAGCATTGAAATGTCTGAAGCCTATAGCCACATGTGGTCGCAACTGATAAGGAAGAAGCAACCACAACCCAGGGCTGGGGAACTCCACTAGATTTTATAACCCAGGGCTGGAATTGAGAGAAGGCTCATATTCAAACTCTAGTCTTGTAATGTTCCTTGATAATACCTGTCACTGTTCTGACTGCACATACCATAGACAATACCTACCCCTTCTTGCTTAGTGAAGAGTTTGAGGCAGTTACTCAGGGCTTCACAAGTTTCTCTTGACGTTTCAGAGACCACTTCAGCTTTCTTGAGAAATGAGACGGGGACACCTTTTAAGGGGAAAAAGGCAAGGCAGAGGACACATTTTGTTTACTATTCTCTTCCAACATGTATTTATGCTTATAGCAGATGTGAGTTAAACTGCCCATAGTTAAATTGTGTCACAGAGCAAAGCAGAGAGGCATAACTTGTCAAGCCTTTGTAGTCTGAAAAATTCCAGGGGATAAGTTTGATATCTGTGGCTTGAGAGAAAAAGGCATTTCTAATTGGAGCAGAAACTAGTTCCTTCTGATAAAGGGTAGGAGCGTAGTCATGGTTCACAGAGAAGGACATGGAGAATCACAGGACAGGAGAATATGTCACAGGACAGGAGAAATAACATCACAGGACAGGAGAAAACTGCTACCACAGAAGCAAGAGGTCTCCCTTTCCCTTTTCCTGCTTGCAAGTCCCTTCCTCTAAGCTGGAGCTTTTTTTATCCCAATGGTGAAAATTTACAGTTACTCATTAATGGGATGAGATACTGGACAACTTAGTTTTCCTGAAAGAACCACTCTGTTTCCACAAAGAATTAGACACCTGAGAACCCATTCACTTAGCTACTTCCTATGTGTTTCTTGGTTTTCTAGATGGTAAGCTACCTGGGTACGGATTTTTTTTTAACCTTTTGAAAAAACTGTATTAATTAATAGAACAGAAAATTAGGGCATAAATCTAAAATTCTGTCACAATGTGATGGAATTAGAACTATAGTAGGATAGAACAGTTCGGAAGGCTGTCTTTGGGAGAAAACTGGGAAGGCAGAGTAGCAGTAGCCCTGTATTCGACAAGCAACTGGTAAACTATCTTTTTCTTTTTTGTCAGCTTGATAAAACAAACAATTTGGGTTTAAAAGTAGCAAAAGAGTTTCTTATTGATTAATAGTTACCCTGAGTGGTGTCACAGGACTTGATGAAGGAGACGAAACTGGAAATCTCCTTATCTAGTCTTTGCTGACATGTCTGTGCCTCCTGAGGGAAAAAAGCAGAGCTATTATGCGATGCAAAAAGCTTTGCACCTGACAAGTAACAAGTAAATGAATTAGTGTTTAGTTCAAGTGGATATAGGAAACTATTTTAACAAGACCTACACAACAATAAAATTTATTCTGAAAACCACAGCAGCTTATATGTGATCAACTTCTGAATATTACAAACTGCCATGTGAAATTTTTTAACCAAAAAAAAAAAAGTTTGATTTTAAAACTACCCTTTACAGAGTCAGACCATGGCAGCTTATCTCCAGGGTCTCAGAGAAGAACTTTCATATCACCTCCTGTCTGAAACTTTTAGCCAGAGATATAACCTGGGACCCCTCTGCAGACAAAGCAGAGGCTCTTCCACTAAGCTTTGGCTCCACCCCAATATTTAAAATTATAGTATATAAACCAACAGTTGTGTATTTGAAGCACTGAAGGAACTAAATTTTGGCCATAGTGCATTTCATAAATTCTCTGGATAAATTCATAATTTTTGTTATTTAGAATAGTTGCTATGTTAGTCCCAAAGAAATAAGTGAGGAACTTCTTATTTGGCCAAACACAGTGGCCTACACCAATTATTAAATTTCCTGTCTGACAGTACTGTGCAACTGAAAAGTTGTTACACTCTTCTGGATGCAGGTTGGTTTGTGAGAAGTGCCATACCTTTTTGTATTTCCTTTAGTTCCTTTGCAATATTAGCTTACTTCCTTTGCACTATTATTAATTCTGTTTACTATTGTGCTCATTTTTAGCTTTTTAAATTAAACTTCTTTATCTATTACAGGCCTTAATTTCTTCTCACAATTCCCTCATATTAGAGCATTCATGTGACATCCATTTCTGAACTGAAGGTCTCCCAGAAGCACAATTGTTTCAAGGTGACACAGCTGATACTCAAATATCACAGCATAAATTTTTTAGACACTGATGAAGCAAGATAGACTCAGAGCAGAATTATTCACTAGTTTCCCTAAAAGTGAGCAATATACAGTTAAAGTTTCTCCCAAAACCACCTGCAACAGCACAGCATGTAGGACTGGAGGTTGGGCATAGAACTAGGGCCAGGGTTGCCAGATCCAGGTTGGGAAATTCCTGGAGACTTGGGGATGGGACCTGGGGAGGACAGGGACCTCAGTGGGGTACAATACCATAGATTCCACTCTCAAAAATCATCCATTTTCTCCAGGGGAACTGATCTCTGCAGTCTCGAAATGAGCTGTAATTCCGGGAGATCCCCAGGTCCCACCTGAAGGCTGCCATCCCTAACTAGGGCATATCAAGTTCTGCATACATTGTATATAGTGGGGGCACACAGGTATGTGCACTGAATTATTTGTGAAACAGAAAGAAGGAAGGGGCCAGGCAGGAAGGGTAGAGGGAGGACAACAGAGGAAAAGCCATATACACAACAAAAATCAGTTATGTGTTAATAAAATAGAGAGTTAAAGACAGGAAATTAAGAAGAGGTATGTAACCACTGAACAAGCCTTGCTATATTGAGCAAACAATAGTTGTGCAATAATTGTTGGTTTTGTTATCAAGTCACAGCTGAGTTATGGTGACCCCCTGGTGGGGTTTTCAATGCAAGACACATTCAGAGGTGGGTTGCCACTGCCTGCCTCCAGGTCATGAGCCTGTTATTCCTTGGTGGTCTCCCATCCAAAGACTGACCAAGGCTAACCCTGCTTAGCTTCTGAGATCTGATGAGATTGGGCTAGCTTGGGTAGGGTTGCCAGGTCCGATTGGTGCTGGTGGTAGGTGGGAGCCATTCAGGAGTGGGGGGGTGCGGCAACGTCGCTGCATGCAACATCGTTGGCGCCATGATGTTACGGAAAAGTTACCATAGAGTTTTAGGCCAAAATGCTAGAGCGTTGACTCACGACGTCCCCAGCATGATGATGTCACTTCAATGTGATGTCATTGCAACAGACCTCTTTGGGGGTGGGGCTTTCCTGCTGGCCGGTAGTGGATTGCAGCCCCGAAGATCAGAGGATCCCCTGGCTGTTCTGGGGGTCTGGCAACCCTCAGCCTGGGCTATGCAGGTCAGGTACGGTAATACCTTTTAGCAACCCCACCTTCCTTAGTTTTCAAAACTTTTTATAGGGCCCTATTCCTCTCACTGAATGACTGACTTTGTAGATTAGATGGGAAGCTAGCTTTTCATATTTATTAGAGAGATCAGGTACGCAGATCATCTTCTTGTAACCTGTTCGTGCACTGCAACATCAAATCACCACTAAATAATGTTCATGTTAGGTTGTCCTCCCCCCCCCCCTTTCAATTCAGCACCTACAGAACGTGTTGCTTGGCTTTTATTTACTGCAGTGCAAGCACAGAAACCAGCACTTGATCGGATCCATTATTTCTCCACCCCTTCCTATATGCAAATTCACGCTTCACCTTTTCCTGGAGGCAGAGCATGTTCAAGAGAGGGCAGCTCAGTCTCTATTATCAATGGTCCTAGCTTCTTTCGTTCAAGACAACAACTGGATAGTGCAGACTTCAAATACTTTGTACTATTGCCAGGGGATGTGCAAGCCTAGCATTTATGTTGCCCTGCAGCTGGCAGAACTCTTGGCTGCACCCAGCCCAGCAAGCCTGCACAGCTTGATAGGAAGTGGAAGAGCAAGACAAAGCAGCTCATAAAGTTCTCCACAGCCTTATCCTGGGTCTCTGCTTCCACCTCTACAACTGCGACAGAAAACCTGCCTCCTTCCCCCCCACCCCACCCCTCCACAGCTGTTTTGCTGTTACTGGTTGGTTTAAGTAAATTCACAAGAGGGGTGTTATCAAGTAATTATAGCTCACGAACTCATGAACTGAAGTTAGCATAAAAGTGTTAGGAAATACTGATGAATCATTTCAAGGATATATATCCAAGATTATTTTTTTGCTATTGAAGTTTAACCTCCCATAAATTATTTCCTACAACTTCACCATTTGCTTCTACAGCATGAATTGTACACAGGGAAAGTTTAAAAATATTACTAGAATTTAGAAAAATATTGTGTTCTGCACTATCAAATTATTACAAGGATTAAAGGTGTCCCTTTCTTCTAAATCAATAAAACCATGGGCCAAGATGCACACATTTACCATTAACTCCTTTCCTTTACCTTTTACTTAAGATGGAAAAGATTTCTATCATTTCAGGCTTTCATGCGATGGAAAAAACAGTTTCTCGGATCCTAGTTTCAGAGGCCAATACCAGACAAACTCCCTCTTCTGGTTATAAGGAGGGAAAAAAACCCATTCATTTACTATCATTCCTTCTCTCTGTTATTGTTAAGGACATCCATAGACTATATAGCATTTTTTTTAATAGAGAGTAATTAGCTAAAGAAGAACAAAGCACTGAGAAAGAGCTAAACATGGAAAAATGAAAGCACATTTTAAATGCTTGCACAGAAAGCAGATTAAGATGTTTGAGACTGCATCCTAGAGGAGCTTCCCCACCCACTTGAGACCACTTCTAGGGCACACAAATTTAATTTAGAATTTAACTAGCTATGGCCAGGTCCTGCATTTTTTAGGAGTTTAACACAGTCCTCTCCCAAATCAGGTTAGATAACTGCATCTGGGAAAGAGATATATTAACCTGCCTCCCACGGTCTCATCCTCTAACACACACACACACCGGCATTTGGATATACTAACTGTGGAGGGGTACACAATCTTGACTAAGACAGAAGCATGATGAGGAAAGGGCTCTCTCTCCCAGGGACGGTTCCCAGACCTTATTTCATGAGCAGCAGTGAGGATAAACTTCAACACACACAGACACACACACACACACACACACACACACACACACACACACACACAGGAAATCCTGATCACATCTAATTTCTTTCTCACCAACATCCTACTCTCTTTGATGGAACTCTGTTCATCTTAGAAAACTGGCTGTGTAAGGGGGTGCTGCTGCAGAGGGACTACAGCAAAGGACATTCTGTCCTTGTGGTGAAGAACAGACCCTGTGACCCCAAGGAGATATCCGCCTTCCTATAAACAGGCAAGAACTAGAATGGTGGCATTCTGTAAAAGGGTAAACATGTTCTTTTTGTTTTGCTCATGGTGATGACCAGGGCAGAGTGTTTGATCTAGAGTATATGCAGCCTCTCTCTCGTCTTTGGAAGGTGACACTGTTCAGCCAGTGAGATGCAGAAAAAACCCCAAGGCTGTGTTTACAGTTTTATATTTAGGGAGAAGGATCAAAAAGCCAATGAGATGACCGAAAGTAAAAACACTTTTAGATACAGTTGCTTTCTGCACATTTGGTACAGGATCAGTGGTTTTTCTCTTTGGTTTAATAGTCTGTGTTTCCAGCATGCACTGCCTGTATATTTGTTAAAAACACGGCGAAAGATGCCACTAAACTTCCATTGTGCTCTCTCTTACCCAACAGAAATCAGTACTATTCCTAGACTTCTTAACTCTTGTAAGTACAGGGTACTAATATAATCAAGAGGTAATAAGTATGAGTCTAGTAGTGTAATATAGTGGTTAGAGTGTTGTACTAGGACTTGGTAGACCCAGATTCAAATTTCCATTCAGCCAATAAAGTTCACTGGGTAACTTTGAGCCAAACACTTCCTTTCAGTTTAACCTCCCTCACAGGGCTGAAGATAAAATGGAGAAAGGGAGACACATGCACTGTACTCTAAGCTCCTTAGAGGTAGAACAGAAGGTGACAGGGATAATAGCCAGCATCCAGACTTGTGCACCCACATAGAGGTGATCCACTATACTCAGTCTTACTAAAGCATCTGACCACTTTAACGGCAGGGCTTCACAAATTTTGACTAGACTGTTATTTATTCCTCCTCCTGAATACTCAAAGAACAAAGTGGTACTTGCCTTTGTACTGAGGTTTTGCAGATGATTCCAGGAGCACTAAGTGACTGTTTCATATTACAAAAACCTAGCGAGAATGGCGAGAAGTTGCTCCTCCTTCTCTGTAAGGGACAACTGGCAAGGAAGGGGGGGGAGGAAGAAGAGAAGCAGGTTCTCTCTTGTGAACGGGCTTTTGCAAAAAGGATCAGCAGCACCTGGCTGCTGCCATCAGTACCTCCTACAAGAGGAAGCTGAAGAAAGCTCCCTTCTCCTGCCTCTCTCAAGTTCTCTGTGGCAGAGCAGGCAGTTTCTCTTTCTCGTTGGTGCTT